GGGGGTAGGGAGGGCGCGCGAAGGGCGGCGCGCGAGGGACCCAGGGCTCACAGAGCCCCGGGCGGCACCGCGCAGCGAGCCCCGTGCGGCTTGCCGCTGGTCCCGCCGCCGCCAGCCGCCGGCCATGCCCTGGGCTGTGCTCTTCGGCCTCCTGGCCGCGCTGCTGCTGCTGCTGCTGCTGACCCGCCGGCGCACGCGGTGAGTCCCCGGCCCGCGGGCCCCAGCTCCCCCTACCTGCCCGGCCTGCGCTCCGCCGCGGACAAAGGGGGCGTCTGTGTGCCTGCCGGAGCCGGGCACGGGGTTCGCGGAGCCAGCTGCCGGCCGGGAGTCCCCGCCCCACACTCCCGGGCAGAAGGGGCACGTTCCCACCAGCCGCCTCCCAGGGCGAGACCCTCGGAGGAGGGAGGCTCCGGGCCCCGCGGAAGGGGCTCCCGGGCCCACACCCTCCTCGCCGAGCTGTCCCTGCAGAGATGGCTCGAGGGGCGCGGGAAGGTGCGAAGACCGGGGCAGGTCCCACGGGCAGCACCACCGCACACGCTAGCCCGGTTGGCCGCGTGCAGCCCCGGCCCTGCCCGGAGCGTGCCCCCGGGTCCCGCGAGGCAGTCTGAGAGCGGAGAGCCGGTGCGTGTGAACCCGGTGGAAGGCGCCCTCTTCCGCCCTTCAGCACCAACTCGGCGTCAAACCCTGTCTTGCTCTTGGCGGCCCTATGGGGTAGCCTTGCTTCTCACCCCCAGTACACAGATGGGGGAGCGCTGGGGGATGCCCTTCTTACAAGCCCCGGAGCCACCTTCCGTGGGATCGATCCCCAACTTGGATGGGTGAGGGTGGGTAGGCTTAGTTTTTCTTTCTCCCAGGGGAGATACTGAAGCCCTGAAGTGGGGTCTCCCCTCCTCGGAGATCCCACAGCCTTGACAGAGTGGAACCAGAGCGCAGCTTTAGCCTCCTGGATCCCCCCAACTCCAACCTGTGATTTAGAAGAAAAAGTAAAACATCTTAACATCAGGGAGATGGCAGTCGCTATTTTTCCTTTTATAAAATAAATCATTTTAGTTACACAAAGAAGACCTGGATAGGTTTGCTTAAATCAGGAATCTGGGTACAGAGAAGACTGAAGGACCTCTGACCACCAGCCCCCAGATTCTAGTCCTCCTCCAAACCTCTCCTGTTGATCGGTTTGGGGAAAACTTTCTAGATTAAAAAAAAAAAAAATAGCCTTTGGAGGGGCGGGGGGAAATAACCTTTTTCTTTTGGAATAGTTTTAGAGTTATCAAAAAGTTGCAAGGATATTTCAGGGAGTTCCCCCACTCTCCATGGTTGTTAATGTCTGACATCAGGCTGGTACATTTGTCACAGCTTGAAGCCCAACCCTGGCCCACTACTAGGAGCTCAGCTCCACACTGTATTTAGATTTCACCAGTTTTTCCATTCTCTTTCTGTTCCAGGATCCGGTCCAGGCTGCCACACTGCCTTTAGTTGTCAAGTCTCCTCAGACTTCCCAGATGTTTTTACAATTACTCTTACACAGTCATTAGGAGCTCTGGTGGTGTAGTGGATAAGGCATTTGGCCACTAACTAGAAGGTTAGCGGTTCAAACCCACCAGCTGCTCAGGGGAAGGAAGATGGGGCGATCTACTTCTGTAAAGATTTGTACCCTCAGAAACCCAGTGGAGGTTGCTATGAGTGGCAATCGACTTGATGGCAGTGATACAGGGCACTGTGTGTGTGTGTGTATGGGCATATATGTGTGTGTGCATGTGTGTAGAGATGTATGTGTGTGTATGTGAGTATGTATGTGTATATTTACGTGTAGGCATGTACGTGTAAATCAAAGTGTCTGAGAATTCCAGAACGTAAGGAACTTTTTTTATTTTAAAATAATATGTTAGTTGAATTTTCAAACAATAAGCTTACTATATTTTTCTTCAACTTCTAGACATTTTTTCGGGTGAAATTTAAAACGAGGTATTCAATCACTTGCCTGGAAAAAACAATGACGGGAGCTCTGGTAGCATAGTGCCTAAGGCACTTGACTGGTAACCAGACGGCTGGCGGTTCAATCCCACCAGCCACTCCTCAGAAGGAAAATGGGGCAATCTATTTCCGTAGTGATACTGCCTCTGCAACCCAAGGAGGGGTCGCTATGAGTCGGGTCCAACTCGACGGCATATAACAACAACATGCTTCCCTTTGCAGAAATGGATTCTTTTTCCTAAGTTGCCAGACTTTTTGGGCACTGTATTCAGAGATGTTTCCAGACTAGATGTTTGCTTTTTTCACTCTGGGTTTTAGTTGTGACGTCCATCCACGTGGCTTCATGATCAACTTCGTTCTTCTGCTCTTCCGTGCATCGCGGTGTTGTCTCGTAAGCTGCTGTCGGGTTGCCCCTGACAAGCAGCCCCGTGCACGATGGAATGAATGCTGCCCTGGCTGTGCCACCCCCACAGTCGACTGCTGTGAACCTTAGGGTTTCCATTGGCTGGTCGTCAGGATAGGTAGCCAGGCCTTCCTTCTGTTTGTCTTAGTCCACGACTCTGTTGGAACCTGTTCAGCATCGTGGCAACACTGAGGCCCCCACGGAGAGCTGGGTGGTGCCTGGGTGTGAGGGGCATTGGCTGGGAATCTATCCGGGTCTCCACGTGGAAGGCAGGCATTCTGCCACTGAACCACCACTGTCCCCATCTGTGTGGGATTCCATGATACGTTTCAGTTTTTCTTTTTTTTTTTTTAATCCATGTCCCTCCTGAGGGAGTTTTAGGTTATTTCCAGTGTTTTTGCTGCTTCAGACAATGTGCTGTGGTGACAGTGGTAAGCCTCCAAACCACCAAAACCAAACCCACTGACATCGAGTCGATTCCACATCATAGCGACCCTATGGACTGAGTAGACCAGCCCCATAGTGTTTCCAAGATTATAAATCTTTATGGAAGCAGACTGCCTCACCTTTCTCCCACGGAGCAGCTGGGGGCTCAAATTTGTGCTTAGCAGCCGAATGCCTTAACCACCAAGTCACCAGAGCTCCGTGAGGGCCTCCAGCTGTGGGTTTTTCCCAGGGGAGGGAGGTAGCTGGAGACAGCTGTAAGGGACACGGATTCTGGGACGGAGGGTGCTTGGGAGCCCGGCATTGTCAGTGTGTAGGGATTCCGGGCCTGTGGAATGATGTACACATTGTGTGACATCTTTCTGCCTCCATTTCCCAATCCTTAAAATGGGGATGATGATAATGGTGGGTGAAAGTGGCTTTGCTGGGTCAGAAGAAGTGCCCATTGAACTTTATGCTGGCTGATTCTTGCCGGTATTGATCCAGGGAACTAATTTCTCTTTGGGAGTAAGTCCGATTTTTATACCTATAGGTGGCTTGGGAGAGTCAACAGATAGAAATTGGAGAGAAATGAGGATATGGGAGTCACTGGTAGCTTGGAGGCAGTTGTAGGTCCTGGGGAGACCCCACCGGAACCCCAGTTTAGAATGGAGCCCAGATGCACCATCTCATTTCCTCCGCCCTCCTTGGTGGTGGTTGGGGGGTAGGGGTAGCTGGTTGTTGCTACTTTAACAGAGGAAGAAACTGAGGGTCAGAGAGTCCAAGTGATGCAGCCAAGGTCGTCCTGGGTTAAAACCTAGGCCGCAAGAGCTGTTAGTCCAGGAGAAATGAATTCTCACTCTTCCCACTTGTTATATTGGTGATCTGAACTCCCACAGGTCTTAGAACCATGTGACTTTCGAGCAGTAAGAGGTGTGCCTTTGGCCAGAGGATTCTTAAAGAAGGGCAAATACTCAAGTGTTGCGAAAAACAGGGTGAGTGACCTGATGCCGTGTAGACAGGGATCGGAAGTCCGGGTGGAGACAAGAAGGCGCCCCACCACCTTTCTTTCTCCTGACCAACCCTCAAGGTCGTTATCATCCCCACTCTTACAGCCGAGGCTCAGAAACGTGCCTAGAACAAAAGATAATCCTACATCTAACTGGTTCCGACATCATGCGCTTCCCAGTAAAAACCATTGCTTCAGCTGGTCAATAACTCTACCTCCAGCATCGTGTTTTTGTTTTTTACTTTTTAATTATGAAAAAGATTAACTATACATACACATTTTAAAAATACTGACCTCATGTACCCGTCACCGTGGTTTGACAGTTATTAACATTTCAAAAAATTACTGACATGATACAGTGCCACACGATATTTCAGAATGTACATCAGGAAACACTGCCAATCACAATTCCATGATCCCACCTGAGGAAGTGAAAAATAACTCTTAATATGATCTATTTTTCTAGTCCAAATTCAAAATTTTGCAATAGTGGCAAGAATTTTTTTTTTTTAAATTTTTACTGTGATTTTGGTGAGAGTACAGAGCAAATTCATTTTCCATCCAGCAGTTCATACACATTTTGTTTCATGACATTGACTATAATCCCCACATGTAACAGCTCTCTTCCTACTTCTTCCCTGTAGTTACCTCTTCCCTGTGTCCTTCTTTCCTATGCATCCCCACCCTCTGCACTGTCTCCCTGTGCAAATACTGCCCTTCTGATCACCCCTGATTGATTGTTCTAAGGAGTGTATCTACTTGGTGTAAATGTTCACCCTATATGCCTGTCTTTTGTTTGCCTGGAAGCCACAGGAATGAGTTCAATTCCAGGGCTGAAGGGTGATTAGGGGTGATAGTCTCAGGGGTTTCATCAGGCTCTATCAGACCAGTAAGCCTGGTCTTTTTTATGATTTTGAGTTTTGTTCCACATTGTTCTCCTGCTCCATCCAAGATCTCCTGCACTGATCTCTTTCCGAGTGGTTGACACTGGTAGCTGGGCACCATCCTGTTCTGGTCTCATGGTCATATAGCCTGAGGTTTGCATGGTCCACCAGCCCCTTGGACTAATTGTTTCCATGCATCTTTGGTTTTCTTCATTCTTCTTTGTTCCGGACAAAGAGAGACCCATTGTTGCTTCTAGATGGCCATTTGCAAGCTTTCAAGACCCCAGTCACTACTCACCAAAGTAGGATGTAGAACAATGTTCTTATATAGTATAGTATGTGGCAAGAATTTTTAAGTAACTGCCAGACTCTAAGGGTTGGGATATGTGTGTGAGTGTGTTCTCCTTAGAGAGGGTAGGCCCTGGGCTAGGAGTTAGGAGTCTGGCTTCTGGGCCCACTGGGGCTAATGAGATGCCATGTGGATATCAGAAACACCCTTCTTGCTTTC